TAAAAGGCGAATTTCCCAAATATTTAAGAAGAGATCTGGCAGCAAGTGTAACTTATACAAGAAATTAATTGATGATTAGATAATTTATCAATGAACAAAAACAGTTTTTACAAATATGTTTTGATATATTTGTAATGATAAATTTCCCCAATAGAAAGATTCCAAAACAAAGCCCCAAAAACATAGACGTTGAAGCCAGAATATCTGGATTTACATTACAGCTATTCCTTTCACTAATTGTGTAATCTGGGGCAAATAATTTAGCACTGTAAGTCTCTCTTTCCTCATCTATAAAATGGTGATAATTAGCTCTTAGAGTTTTTAGAAAGATCAGTTGAATTGAGGCATGTTCAATGCCCAAGATGTTAAACATTCAGGCATGGTATTTCTAACTCCCTTCTAGTAAAGCAACACCATCATCCTGCAGTGCAGCATGGTATGAGGGGGAGGGACTCCGAGGCTGCATAGCCTGAGTTGACTCCTGGCTCCACCATCTCACCAGCTCTGTGACCATGGGCACACTACTTAAACTCTCCATGCCTCAGTTTTCTCATCTGTAAGATGGTTATTATAAAAACATCTTCCTCATAGGGTGGTAGGATTAAGTGAGGTCATTTATGTAAAATGCTTAGAGTGGGGCCTGACACCCAGGAAATGCTATTTAAGTGTTAGCTAGTATTGTAGTGAGACACTCATGGTTTATTGTACTGGTATACCTAGAACTATCACATTTATAACTATAGCTGATCAGTAATAGGTGGATGGGTATAATTTTCTGACTTGAATGGCCGGGATGTCCTGAAGAGGGTGGAGCAGCAGAGGAGGCCACGCATTCCCTTGCTCTCTGCTGTGAATGCTTTGCAAAAACAGCTGTGTTTGGGGCTTCCCTGGTGGTGCAGTGGTTGAGAGTCCGCCTGCCGATGCAGGGGACCCGGGTTCGTGCCCCTCTCCGGGAGGATCCCACGTGCCGCGGAGCGGCTGGGCCCATGAGCCATGGCCGCTGGGCCTGCGCGTCCGGAGCCTGTGCTCCGCAACGGGGGAGTCCACAACAGTGAGAGGCCCACTTACTGCAAAAAAACAAAAACAAAAAAAACAGCTGTGCTTGCAGAATCTAGCTCTGAGCATAGGGAGAAAGGAACAGAAGTATTCCATTTCCCCATGGGTGCCATTTACTCTCACTAAGCCACTGCTTTAATGAACACCAATATTTTTTAGTGCCGTTGTAAATGGTGTATATAGTGAAAATCATATTACAACAACATTAAAGGAATTGTTTAAAGATGAAAAATAAATCAGCTACAAATATGCCACCTGACGCAAAAACTGATTTAATTTTTTCTCTCTAGGTTTTGTTTATGTGCATATGCAGTATGTATTTACACAGTTGCCATCACTGTGTACCTACAATTTTATACTGTTTACTGTGTTTAACATTAATCGATAACCTTTTCCCTGTTAAATAGTCATTATAATTATTATTTTTTATATGAATTTATTTATTTATTCATTTATTTAATTTTTGGCTGCATTGGGTCTTTGCTGCTGCACGCGGTCTTTCTCTAGTTGCAGTGAGCAGGGGCTACTCTTTGCTGCAGGGCACAGGCTTCTCATTGTGGTGGCTTCTCTTGTTGCAGAGCACAGGCTCTAGGCGCATGGGCTTCAGTAGTTGTGGCACACGGGCTTCAGTAGTTGTGGCTTGCGGGCTCTAGAGCGCAGGCTCAGTAGTTGTGGAGCACGGGCTTAGTTGCTCCGCGGCATGTGGGATCTTCCCAGACCAGGGCTCGAACCCGTGTCCCCTGCATTGGCAGGCGGATTCTTAACCACTGAGCCACCAGGGAAGCCCCTATAATTATTATTATTATTGATGGCTGCAGAGTCATGTTGATAGGCCATAATTACTCTTTTTTTGAAAATCAAAATGTCTACCTTTTACATACTGTAGGAGAACCCTAGGAATGTTAGTAAGGGCAATAAATTATAGAAGAAAAGGAAATCAAAGACCTATACCTCCTTATGGCAGGAGGAAAGAGAGGGAGGGAGTATCTGATTGCCTAAGAGCTATGAAATCCTATAATTTGATTTTGCAACAGATTTCTACCCTAATGCTTTACTTAACATATCTATTTTTAAATTTAAGAGAATTAAAAAGAAGTTGCATGTGACAGTTACGTGGAGGTTCATTTTACTACTGTCTACTTTTGTATATGTTTGACACTTTCTGTAATTAACAAGGCTTAAAGAAAAGAATGTGCTTATAAAGGATTTTTCCAACACCCCTGGAAATCATTTGAGGTGTCTCTTGGTAAACAGACCCCCACAGCCCACGCACGTGGGAATTTTCAAAGTCTCTCTACCTCAAGAGTCTTTGCTTCCTTCTTCCAGGAAATTGATATAGTGTATGTGCAGAGAAGTCCATGCTGGGAACAGTGCTCCCTCAGACGTGGGGCTCTTGTGCCTGGCACAGCTCCCACCATCTGCAGAGACCCTGCCTGGGTATCACTAAATCACTGTTGAGAACATCTTTAAGAGGGTGGGGCAGGGAGTAGAGGGGAAGGGGTGGAGGCGGTAGCTGACTCATCATTGGTGGTCTAGGCTGGGAAGGGGTGACGTGTAGTAAATGATCGTAGAGCAGGCCATGCCCTCTCTACCCCACCTTGGGCTGAGACCATCACACCTGCTGACACAACACACCCTGGAGGTGATTGTCCAGACTCATTAGAGTTACGTGCTCTTTTGGGGTGTCCTGACGACACACTTGCTAAGACCAGGGCTCTCCTTTCTCCTGGTAACTCTGTGACTCACATGAATGCCCAGGTGCCCCCTGTCCTGTCCTACCCTCCATCACACCCTAGTCAGTCTTTCTCAATATTGCTGTCAGAACACCTCCTTTTGGGACTTCCCTGGTGGTCCAGTGGTTAAGAATCTGCCTTACAATGCAGGGGACGTGGGTTCAATCCCTGGTCAGGGAACTAAGATCCCACATGCTGATGGGCAACTTAGCCCGTGTGCTGCAACTACTGAGCCCAGACCCTCTGGAGCCCACACACCACAACTAGAGAGAACCCCTCGCACTGCAACGAAAGATCCCACGTGCTGCAACTAAGACCCAACGCAGCCAAAAATAAATAAAAATTTTTTTTTAATTACATTAAAAAAAAAAAAAGAATGTCTCCTTTTGATTTTCCTTCTGGTTCTTGTTCTATGCTGGTGTCGGTCAGTCCTTTCCCTGTCTGAGGCAAGTCCCATCCTGCTCCTGTATATCTGGAAGCTCTTGGTGCTTGTCTCCTTTACCCTCAGCCTCTGGCAATATCATGAGGCCTCTGGCAGCACGGCAGGTGTCAGAGGCTCCTGTTGTGTTTAGGGGTCCTGAGCCCCTGGGAGGGGGGCAGATATCTACACCCAGTGGTAGATATTATGGGTTGATTAAAGAGAAATGGAAAATCAAACCATCATGTTGTACACTTTAAATTTATACAGTGACGTGTGTCAATTACTTCAATAAAACAGGGGGAAAAAGAGAAATAGAAAACAGCTCTGTGAGATCCAACAGATGGTCTTGTTGGGGAGAAGGAAGTCAGTGCAGAATACTTAAAAAAATCCCCATGCTCAATGGTCAGCTGTTTAGGACAGGGATGGTGTGGTGGTCCCTTCAGAAATCCTCACTGCCAGCGTGGGGACTGGTACTCAGCAGCACAGTGCAAATGTTTGTTAAATGAATAAATAAAACTTCAGGTCAATAAAGTCAGGTACAGAACATGTATATGAGTGCCAAAGAAATATAGACCAGATGAGTGATCTGAGTGGATAGAGTAATAAAGAAGACTTCTTGTAGGAGGGAAATTATTTTTAGAAACTGAAGGGTAGAGAGGAGTCTAGTGTAGAGTTCCATTGATAGTACTGTACGACCTTAGACAAGTTACTTAACCTTTCTGTGCCTCAAACATCATCTTCAAAATGGAGCAATGAGAGTGGCTACCAGATGGGGGCAGGGTGGTCTAGGAGGCTCAGTGAATTCATGGGAAATGGGACCTGGAACTTGATAAACAGCGGTCAGCAACATCATCTGATACCACATCTTTACATTCTTAGGGGTCACCCCGGACACTGCAGACATTTGAGGATGATAAGGTCTGAACCTTAAATATGAACGGACCGTCAAGGAAAACCAGACATATGAGGAGAAACAGCAACATGAAATTAATAACAATTATCATTATTACAATCACTATGACTAATGTTTATTGAATGCTTACTATGTATGTGCCAAGAGATGTTTTCATCACTTTGCATGTATTAAATCATTTAACCTTTGCAACTCTATTTCACAGGGAGGAAACAAAGGCCTAAAGAACTATACCTTTTCACTTTACTGAAAAAAATACCATCATGAAAGAAATTTGGGGGAAAAGGAAAAAAGAAAAAAGCCACGATTGTCTCTCCTTCTACCCCTCGTACAGAACATTTTCACTTTCCTAAATTATTTTCTAGTCCTCGTTCATCGCCAACTTGTTTTTTAAAATAACTTTATTCTTTATATAAAAATGGCGCAGGCTCATAAAAAAAGTTCCAAGCAATAAAAAAGTACAAATAAGAGAGCAAAAGAAAGAGTTGATATTTAAGAACAGAATGCTGCTGGCATCATGTGACCCTTGTCACTGGCATGTCTATTGTGTGTGAATCACTGAAGTAAAATATTACCCTGCGGAACTTGGATGTTTTTACTAATTATTGAATAAAAGAAGGCAAAGTGAAAGTCTATGTTATGAAATACTAAACAACCTGATATACCAAAAACTTATCAGTTCTCAGAGTATATGACTCTTTCTAGGAAAAAAAAGATTCTTTGTACAAGACATCGGAAACAATAAATCCTTCTTGATATATATATATATATATATATTTTGAGAGCCCGTCCTTCTACCCCCCCATCTTGAACCAATGGTTGGGGCCTTCTTAACCTCTTTCTCTCCTTTTTTTTTTTTTTTTTTTTGATTCATTAGAGACCCAAGGCTTCCACCAGTAAACCAAAAGCCCTAGAAGACTTCTGCCTGGATTCTAAGCGTTCTAAGGGAAGAAGGTAATGCTTTTCTTAACGTATGAGGAGATATTATTGTCTTATGTAACTCTGGGGAAAAAATTCATTATTCAGATTTCTGTGAAGGGTTTGAGTCTGTAAAGAATGTGTTGAGAAAGAAGAAAGATTGGTGATATCTCACAGTTTCGAAGCCGAAGGGGCCTTACATACTGTCCAGTTCACCACCCATGTTTAGAGAGAAGCAAACAGGCCAGAGAGGCTGAGGAGGATGCCATAAATCACGGTGAGCTGAGACCAGATCCCAAGTTTCTTGATTTGTAGTCATTTAGAGACATTTATTCCTATTTGTGGTAAAGGGAAAAGAGAAGAAAAAAAAAAGAGCAAGTAGTTGAAATAAGCTCTCAAGACAGGACATTTTATGGGTCAGAGAGTAAAGCCTTCTGGAAAGTTCCCTTACTTCTGAATAAACTTTGACCGATTTCCAGGATTTGACTAGCAGATCAGAAAGTACCCCCTTGCCCTTTTAAATGCAAAAAAGCGGATTTCAAAAATAGCTCCCATCTCCACCCTGAGAGGTAGTGCTTATACCTGTGGAGAGAGAAGGAAGAGGGCCAGTGAAATGATGCCCCCCATCAGCTTGTACCCATCCCCACTGGGGACCAGGGGATCTGTAAGTCCCTAAGCTGGCCTTGCACCAGTATTGAAAGACGTTACACAGTAGGTGACAAATAAATGCTCTGTGGGATTTTAGAGATCTCACATCCTGGTGATACCCTGTTAACATTACTCATTGAAATTAGCACAGGTTTTAAATGAGTGGCACTCTTCCCTAAAGCCCCACCGTGGTTACTCCCTTGGGCCCAAAGGCCCACAGATTTTAAGGGGTGCTCAAGTAGCAGTTGTACACAGCCCTAAGAGCCACTACTGTTTTCACAGGTGTGCTGCGAGAGCATCAGACGTCAGATTCAAAGCATGGAATAACATCAGAGAGAACGCCTGCTGCGTGGTGAACAGGAGAGCTGGGAGCAGGAACATAGAAACGTTTCCAGTAGGCTTGAAACTTGCTGTGTTTGGCATCTTCATCACTGTGATATTTGTCTACATAACTGTGGAAGGGAAGCCACTCTTTGGTTAAGTTCTTTAGAAGCAGAGTGATGAGCGCGTGCCTGAGAACTGCTCCAAGCCCTCTTGCTTCAGGAAAGAAGAGAGGCTACTCTTAACGGGGCGGGCCCAGACCCATAGCCAGGTAGTCGTCCCTTGCACTGTGTTGCTCTCAAGGATCTGTAGCCAGGCTCAGACAGGTAGAAGCAATGAGGGAGAGAACAAGGCACTTGTGTCAAAGGGCTTGATAGTAGGAAATTCTCCGAGTCAGCTTGGCTACCATTAAAGGTACTTTCATGTTTGTGCAGACCTCTAGAAAGGAAACTGTGCCTGGAGTTTTTCTCTTTAACCATGGCAATAAGCCATGGATCACGTTTTATTCACTCGTCAAATTGTGTAGTCAATTATGGGAAAGGCCACAACAGATAATTAACAAAAAAGGAATTGTCTGGTTTGGCAAACACAAAGAACTAGCCAACATCACCAGTAATGAAAGGAAAACCACTTAGAACCAGATCACATATTCGCCATTGAAACTTAGCAAGGTTTGAAAAAATTGAGGCCTGGTGAGGGAGTGTAATGATCATGGCCCCTGGGAGCAGGTAGAGCTGAGTAGGCACCTGAACTCCTCTGTTTATTGGCTTTGTGACCTTGGGTGAATTACTTTCTTCTCTGAGCTTCAGTTCAACTTCTGAAAATAGGGATAAAATAGACCTCTTGGGGTGATGAAGAATCTGAAGAAATGATATGCATATAAAGTACTTAGTGTGATCCACACCTGACTGGTAGTAAACCCTCAATAAATGCTCAATAAGTGCTTAAGCAATGTTACACTTTGGCATAATATCTTGGCTTCTGGGAGGAGCTAATTCTAGATACAGAGAAGTCTTAGGTACCAGGAAGTTGACTGTAGCAATTTTCATGGCAGCCAAAATATAGAACCAACCCAAATATCCAAGAATAGGGGAATGCTTTAATAAGCTGAAGTATAGCCTCTTGATAGATGACTATGCAAGAATTAAAGATACTAGTTTATCATGACAGAAAATGCTTCGATAAAAAATTTTATAGCAGCTTTATTGAGGTGTAATTTACATGCCATACAATTCAACTAAAGTGTACAATTCAATGATTTTTAGAATATTCATAAGTTTGTACAACCACCACCACAATCAATTTTAGAATATTTTCATCACACCTAAAATGCTTTTTTTTTAATGGTAAGCAAAAAAGGACAGAAATTTGTTACTACTGTATGATCGCAACTATGCAAACAACACTGGAAGAAAATATGTCGAAATGTTAACAGTACTTCAGGGATGGGACTCTGATTTTCTTTTCCTTATTTCTATTTTTCCGTGTTTTTAAAGATTTCTATGAGCAGGGTGTGTTAATTTGCTAATGTGAGGAAATTTTAATTTTAACAAATTGTATACCATATTACAGTTTGGCTGCAGGGAACGTAAAAACTCTGGGAAAACTGGCTTAAGCAAACAGGGATTTATTTTTTGTTTGTTTGTTTGTTTTTGTTTTTTGTTTTTTTTTTCGGTACGTGGGCCTCTCACTGGCGTGGCCCCTCCCGTTGTGGAGCACAGGTTCCGGACGCACAGGCTCAGCGGCCATGGCTCACGGGCCCAGCCGCTCTGCGGCACGTGGGATCCTCCCGGACCGGGGCACGAACCCATGTCCCCCACATCGGCAGGCAGACTCTCAACCACTGCGCCACCGGGGAAGCCCTCAGGGATTTATTTTTAGCTCATAAAAAGAAATTTGGGGTTTAAGCATATAATATTGTTAAAAATAACTAAATGTAATATGAGCCTGATTCAAATAAACAAACTGTAGAAAAATTATGTTCAAGAAAATTTGAAACTGACTATTTGGTGATATTTAAAGATGCTTGATCTTATTGAGCATCAGCAGCTATTCTGTGACCATGAGTTAAAAAGCAAAAGAGGAAGGCAAAGAGAATCACAAAGACATTGGCCTGCTATCTTTGTTCTCTTTTTTGTTTTTGGCCATGCCGCGAGGCTTATGGGATCCTAGTTCCCTGACCAGGGATTGAACCTAGGCCCTCGGCAATGAAAGCACAGAATCCCAACCACTGGGCCACCAGGGAATTCCCTGGCCTGCTATCTTTGAACTCCTGAAATTAGTTCTGCAACTCAGGCCATTGCATTAGCATTTAAGGCAGAACTTAAGGGCTCAGTACATCCCATCACCAGCTCTGTGTTACATATTTCATCCAGAACAGTAAGAGAGGCTGGGAGAGTGGGCACTTGAGCTTTTGCAGCCTCTATTTCAGACAAGGGAGAAGAAGACTGGGCATAAGAATAGGAGAAAGCAACCTATAGTGACAGCCACATGTTCAGTCGTTAATAAGATCAAGCATTATAAAAAATAAACAGGGCTTCCCTGGTGGCGCAGTGGTTGAGAGTCCGTCTGCCGATGCAGAGGACACGGGTTCGTGCCCCGGTCCAGGAAGATCCCACATGCCGCGGAACGGCTGGGCCCGTGAGCCATGGCCGCTGAGCCTGCACGTCCGGAGCCTGTGCTCCGCAACGGGAGAGGCCACAACAGTGAGAGGCCCGCGTACCGCAAAAATAAATAAATAAATAAATAAACCTCCCAGACAGGGTTCTTCAGTACTTTGAATTTTTGCCAATTAGTTCTTTTAAATCAGAATCCTGGAATCAGTTTAAAGAGACTGCACAAGACTTCTAGTTAGTGCCTTACCACTCAAGGTGTGGGTCCCCCGACCAGTAGTATTAGCATTTCGGGCCCTACCCCAACCTACCAAGCTGGAGTCTACATTTTAACAGGATCCCAGGATTCCTATATGTATAAAAGCTTGAGAAGCACTGCTATGGTCCCTGCCCATCAGATGCTTATGTAGGAGGAATCCTAGCTCAAGCCTAAGCCAGCCTGAGGACCTGGAGTCCACTTAGGAGTGTCAGGCCAGAGGACTAGTAGGGTAGGTCCATCAGGGGTCTATGCACACTGGGGACTGCTTCCCTCTTTGAGAAAAGTGTGTCTTAAAGGAAGACACGCAGGCACACAAGTTTGTTTGTAAACAGTAAATGTTTCACTATTCATCCATCCAATAATTTGTCTTCTGTATACCCTCAATAGAAAGGCAAATAAAATCAATATAAGATACAATCCCTGCTCTTAAAGAACTGGTAGGGGAGATGGAGATGCCAACAGACATTGCAGTGTTAAGTGATCTCCTTGATGGTAGGACAGGGGGCCCTGGGAGCAAAAGAGGGCAACTTTCTCAGATGTTGGGAGTGGACATGGGTGGCTTCCTAGAGCAAGTGGTATCATAGCTGAATCCAGCAGAATGAGTAGGATTCAGTCAACAGAAGGGGTAGGAAAGTTGGTGAGGCTAAAGGTGAAGGGACTGTCTCCAGGCCAAGGGCACAGTGTTTACAGAGATTGGTATGTGAAAGAGAACAGGTGAGTTTGGAACCACTACAGAAAATGAAGGTGGTGGTGAGGGATAGGGCTGGACATGAGGGCAGGGTTCAAATCATGGCAGGTCTTGGGGGCCATATTAAAGAGTCCTAACTTTAATCCTGAGGCCAATGCAGAAGAGGAACTCTCCTAAGAACTAACCGTCCCTGCCTCCCTGATTGGCTTCCACATCGGTTTTCACAGCTTCCCCTGAGAGCTGGGGAGAGAGGGCTTCTAAAGAGGTACCAAACCTAAGGAGCTGTTGGCCCAGGCCCCTGAGGGACGTTGGGCGCGCAGGGCAGTCCTCTGTGTTGGGCCCTGGCAGCAACAGGAGTGGGTAGCCCAGCATCCGTGGGAGGGAGGGAGCACACTCTGACATGCTCTTCAACATGTGTGCCCTTGACAAGGGCAGCAAATGTAGCAATGCTACAGGAGTGAAGGCAGCAGAGGGGAAGTCAGGAGATGCTCCCCGGTGTTGGTGAGCAGACATGAAGCACATTTATGGGACTCCCGGAGAGGGAAGGAAGGAGTAGCTGCAACTGCCCCGCGCAAATACGGTGTGTGTGGGGGGGGTGAAGGCGAGCTGTTGAAACCCCTCTGCGCAGAGAACTCAAAAACTGCACTGCCATGTCTTTTGAATATTCATGATGTGACGCAAGTATTTCTTGACCCTTTCTTTAAGGCTCACCTTTCCCTGGTAATCTGGGGAAAGTGTGTATGGGGAGTGGGGCTTCTGTCCTCCCAGGGCCACTGTCCTCCATCTCTCGGAAGCTGCTGCCACCAAGCTGACCTCAGCAGAGGGCTGATGCAGGGAAGCTGGGTGTGTAACAGGCTTTTCTGAAATTTTAGACATAATGAGGAAACTGAAATGTGGGGAGGAAAGAACTGGGCCTACTTTGGTGCCTTTCCCAACACATAGTCATCTACCCACCCCCACTCCACCTTCAGCTACCCACTGATGAAGCAGAAGCCATGGCACTGAGATTTTCTTTCTTTTTTTTTAATTAATTAAGTTATTTTATTTTTGGCTGCGTTGGGTCTTCATTGCTGCAGGCAGGTTTTCTCTAGTTGTGATGAGCGGGGGCTAGTCTTCATTGCAGTGCACAGCCTTCTCATTGCAGTGGCCTCTCTTGTTGTGGAGCACAAACTCTAGGCACGTGGGCTTCAGTAGTTGTGGCAGACGGCCTCAGTAGTTGTGGCTCACAGGCTCTAGAGCACAGGCTCTGGAGCGCAGGCTCAGTAGTTGTGGCGCACAGGCTCAGTTGCTCCGCGGCATGTGGGATCTTCCCGGACTAGGGCTCAAACCCGTGTGCCCTGCATTGGCAGGTGGATTCTTAACCACTGCGCCACCAGGGAAGCCCTGAGATTTTCTTGACTTTGGGTGAAATCAAATTCCCAGGCAGGGCTCCCTCCCCCACTAGTCTCAGCAATAGGAAGGGAATTGGTATAGTGATTTATTCTCTCGTCAAGGGCAAACTCCCAGCCATCAGGGTGTTTTATTTTTCCAGTTTTAACTACTTGTCTGCCTTCCCTACAAATTCTGGAGCTCCTTGGGTTGGGGACTGTATCTTAATCATC